AAAATACTTCCTTAAAAATTAGAATAGAGCAATTGGGTTAGTGACTTTATGAGAAATCAAGATACTGTAAAACAAATCCAAAAGAATGAAAAATTAGAAAACAATGTGAAATATCTCATTGGAAAAACAACTGACCTGGAAAATAGGTCCAGGAGGGAGAATTTAAAAATTATTGCACTATCTGAAAGCCTTGATCAAAAAAAAGAGCCTAGACATCATCTTTCAAGAAATTATCAAGGAAAACTGCTCTGATATTTTAGAACCAGAGGGCAAAATAGAAATGGAAAGAATCCACCGATCTCCTCCTGAAAGAGATCCCCAAAGGAAAACTCCTAGGAATATTGTAGCCAAATTCCAGAGTTCCCAGGTCAAGGAGAAAATATTACAAGCAGCCAGAAAGAAACAATTCAAGTATTGTGGAAACACAATCAGGATAACACAAGATTTAGCAGGTCCTACATTAAGGGACCGCAGGTCATGGAATATAATATTCCGGTGGGCAAAGGAGATAGGATTACAACCAAGAATCGCCTACCCAGCAAAACTGAGTATAATCCTTCAGGGGAAGAAATGGCCATTCAGCAAAATAGAGGACTTTCAAGCATTTTTGACAAAAAGACCAGAGCTGAATAGAAAATTTGACTTTCAAATACAAGACTCAAGTGGAACATGAGGAGGTAAACAGGAAAGAGAAATCATAAGAGACTTATTAAGGTTGAACTGTTTACATTCCTGCATGGAAAGATGATATTTGTAACTCATGAGACCTTTGTCAGTATTAGGGTAGTTGGAGGGAAACAATTATATGTATCTAGATAGATAGATAGATAGATAGATAGATAGATAGATAGAGGGCACAGGGTGAGTTGAAGATGAAGGGGTCATATCTGGAGAATAAAATTAAGGGGTGAGAGAGGATTATACTAGGAGAAGGAGAAAGGGAGAGGTAGAATGGGGTAAATTATTTCACACAAAAAAAACAGAAAAGGTTCTTATAGTGGAGGGAAAATGGGGGAAGGTGAAAAGGAATGAGTGAATCTTATTCTCATAGGATTTGACTTTAGGAGGGAATAACATACACACTTAATTGGGTAGGGAAATCTGTCTTACCCTACAGGAAAATAGGAGGGGAAGGGGACAAAAGAGTAGGGGGATGATAGAGAGGCGGGCAGATTGAGAAAGGGGGTAATCAGAAGCAAAAACTTCTGAGGAGGGACAGGGTCAAAAGAAAGAATAGAATAAATGGGGGGGCAGGATAGGATTAAGGGAAATAGAGTTAGTTTTTCACAGCATGTCTACTACGGAAGTGTTTTGCATAACTGCACATGTATAGTCTATATTGAGTTGCTTGCCTTTTCAATGAGGGTGGATGGGGAGGGAGGAAGGGAGAAAAGTTGGAACCCAAAGTTTTAAAAACACATGTTTAAAAAAAAATGTTTTCACATGCAACTGGGAAATAAGAAATACAGGAAATGGGATACAGAAATCTATCCTGCCCTACAGGAAAATAGAAGGGGACGGGGATAAGAGAAAGGAAGGCAGACTAGGGGAAGGGGTATTCAGAATGCCTGCCATCTTGGGGTGGGGGGAGGGGTGAGATGGGGTGAAAATTTGGAACTCAAAATCTTGTGGAAGTAAATGTTGAAAACTAAAAATAAATAAATTTATAAAAAAGAACTCTTAAAAATAAACAAAAAAAATTGATAGGACTACTTTAGTAAGGGTAAAAACAGTTTGAAGCCAATGGAGGAAGTGTAAAGGGAATCAAAAGGATTGACAAGCATGGTGAAAGTTAAATTGAAGCTAGACAATTTGAATTTTTGGTTAGCCCAGTCTGCACAGTTCTGTGATTTCCCCCAGCAATACTATCCAGCCTAGGGACAGAACTGCAGGATGAAGATGGCTAGGGACTAGATCTAAGAATGGGGAACTGGGAAACACAAAGGGAGGAAAGAAAAAAGAAGAGGGCATTATTGGAAGCTAGCACTAATGTGGCTGACCGCTGAATTCCATCTGGGCAGAACTAGTTAAGTGGAAGAAGGAAAGCTCTAATGGATTAAGTGAAGTGATGGATATGTGGAACAACTAGAGATTCAGGTGATGAGGAAGAAAGGTTCAGTGCATGTAGATTAAGTAGCAAGTAAAAAATGTATTAATTCTTTTGTTTTGCTACCAGTCATTTTCTGATGAGCCCAGCCTTCCTTGAATCCTCTGAATAACTAACTTCATGCAAAATGATTTCTTCTGACATTGCGTATAACTTCTACAAACTGTAGTCCCTCCATCTCACTTCACCCCCCAAACCCCATACAGAGAAAAGTAAAATGGGTTTCATCATCTGTTCTCTGGATTAAAATTGGTCATTACATTTAATCTGAATTCAACCGACATTCAGTGTTGCAGGGAGTCATCATATATGTTGTCTTCCCTGTTCTTACTTTTTTGCTCTGTATCACTTCATATTAGTCTTTCCATAGTTTTCTGAATTCTTCCTATTCATCATTCCATACAGCAAACTATTCAGTTACATTCACATACCACAGTTTGTTTAGTTGTTCCCTGATAGTTGAGCACCCACTTTCTATACTTTTTTTTTTTTTTTGCTAACACAAAAAGTGCTACAATCAATATTTGATTGAATCTTTTTTCTTTCTCTCTTTGGAGGTATATATATCTAGTAGTAGGATTGCTGGATTAAACATTATTAACAGTTTAATGGCTTGTCTTGCACAGTTCAAAATTGTTTTCCAAATGGATGGACTAATTGGCAACAGTTCCACCAACAATGTATTAGTGTTCCTCTCTTCCCTAACTGCTCCTCCAACATTCACTATTTCTGTCTTTCTCATCTTTGCCAGTTTGCCAGTTGGGAGGTAAAATCTCAGAGTTGTTTTAATTTGAATTTCTTTTATTATTAGATGCCCTCTTATTTTTTCTTTCCTCCCTTTATGTTTCCCAGTTCCCCACTCTTAGAATTATTTTATTATTATTATATTTTTTTCACATTCAATAAATAATCTATTAATCATTGACTGTGCAAAATACTGTGTTGGGAATACAAAGAAAGAAAAATGCCCTTAAGGGTAATCAGTTGAAGGAACTAGACATAGTAGAAAGAGAGGGGAGGGCATGATAGCTGTCTTCTGTTACTTGAAGGGCTGTCTCATGGAGGGGAGATTAAACTTGCTCTGTTTGACTCCAGAGGACAGAACCAGACACAGAAGCAGCAGCTAGGTGACATATTAGACTGAGTGCTGGACCTCAACTTAGAGAGACCAGTGTTCAAATCCCTTCCTTGAACATTGGTCTCAGTCTCAGTTTCCTCAACTGTAAAATGGGTAACAATAACAGAACCTACCTCACAGGGTTGTTGTGAGGACCAAATAAGAAAATGCCTCAGAAAGCATCTGAGTAATGTGAGATGAGGAAGAAGAAAGAAGAGGGAACTCTCAGGGAATATCAATTTTTTCAGTGAAATGTGAGATAGGGTTCTCACTTGAGAAGGTGTGAGGATGGACAAAAAGATGTGGAAAAGCCTTTGAGGCTGTTAACAAGATTTTACTAAGCAAGTCTCTAACCTGAGGGACATTGATACAATGCTTCCTGGTCACCTAAAGGCATAAGAAGTCAGCCAGGAGCAGTCAGAGATTTCTGAAAACCACAGGAGTGACTCAACACTTTTCCATATGGAGACAGGGGGTAGGTGGGAGGGAGGAGGAGAATGGCCAGAGAAGCTAAGTAGCACTGTATCAATGTCCCATCTTTGCTACATTAGGGCAAAGTAAACTACCTTTTGTTATCTGTTGGATGACTTGAAATTGCCTCATTCAGTAAAAGCAAACCTAAACTGAGAGTGATAGTGTTAGGGCGGATAGAACAGCCTCCGATAGCAGGGCAACATTAACTGTAGGATAAAGAACTAGGAACTCAAGATAAGGGGATCCTGTTGAATTGAATTGGTTCATTCAGGGTTCAAGATGGGGAAGGAAGGATAATGTAGCCAGCTTAAAGTGATAGGTGGGGAAAGGCCTGAGCAGTGGAGTGATTGAGGTCATGGTGAAGATGAAGAACAGAGCTGAGGGTTGTAAGGCAGAGAAAAGTGAGGTAACAGTAGATCATGATCAGATACCACAGGTATGACCATCACTCTGTAGCTGAGGTGGGGTTGAGGAGTAGGTGATGGGAAATGGGTAAATGGTGGAAGTGGGAGGTAAAGGTCTTTGAGGGAACATCAATATATATTGAAGTCTTCTAATATGAGGGCAGAAGTTGGGGAAGAGAATGTGTTAATGGAATTAGATGAAAGAAGGGGTATCTTGGAGGTCAGTAGATAAAAGCTAGCAGAATTTTGATTGGCTGATAATTATGGATTGAATGAATCTCAAAGTTACTGGGGTGAGGGAGGACAGGAGGTGTAGAAGGAAAATCTTAAAGTGCCAGTGAAGAGCAAGGCGTATACCAAATCCCCACTAGTGTTGGAAAGGAGGTACAGGGAAGCAGTGTTCTAAGAAAGGAGCCAGGTCTCAGTAAGTGCAAGATGGAAGGAGTGAGAAATGAAAACATTAAGAGTATCATCTCCTCTTACCAAGTAGTCCTAAGTACCTCTTCCCCTGCCCCTATCAGTGACAGAATCCTAGGTTGTGTGGACCATAGGTCTGAACAATCATATACGTCTCTTCCCTTGGACATAGAGAAAGACAATTTTAAATAAAGCTTACTGAAGGAAATGCCATTGTTATATCCAGAATGAAAACCTTTAATAAACAATACATACTGATTTTAATTCCAGGGATATCCCTTCAAACATGAAAATGCATAGGAACTAAACCGTCTAACACCCCACTTCCAAAAAATCCAACCTGCTTTGCAAGATGGACCAAATATTCCTTAAGCACCAACTGGGTAATTAACAGCATGCTTCCTAATGCTTAGGAACAATCCAGCTAAAGCTCAGGGAACGATTCACCTTTTATTTTTTAAGGAAGCATCGCTTCTGACAGTTACTGCCTAGGGCCATGGTTGCTCCAGGGCATCAAACCTCTCTCCTCTCCCCCTCCAGGCATCAAACCTGGGGGCCCTGTCTTTGACCCGCAGACCACCCGGGAGAAAATGTGGAGTCTAGCTCGGTCTCCGAGGGGGGTGAATTTCCTCCGGACCCACGAGATCCTGGAGAGAGGGGGTGGGGAGGGTGGAGGATGAGCCGCGGTCCTAAGCCCGGTCCACACGCACGCGGGAAAGTCTTCCTTCTTTCCCGCCGCCCACGCGGCCTCGGAGAGCGAAGCGCGGGGTGGGGACGCCGGGGCTCGGCGGCGGCAGCTGCAGGGGCAGCACAGTTTTCCTTCTCCGCCTTTCGTTCGGTCCAAGACTTTCTGTCCTTGGGAAGGCCACTTCAACCCCACCTTTCGGCTTTCCAGTAAGGGGATTCGTTCCTGCCAAATGCTGGGAAGGAAGACAGGAGCGAGACCTCCGGGAAAACCCCAGCTTCCTCTGTACCCGGGCCAGTCTGGGAGAATAGGAACAGAGCTACAGTCGGGTGGGAGGCGGGGATAGGGGTGGGGGGGAGTAGGGAGGCAGAGAAGCAAGAGGAGGAGGAAAACCGCTAGAGCCAGCGCAGGCGCATGGCCGACGCGAAAGTTGGGCAAACAGGAATCCTTCGCCCCTCCCGCCTCGAGCGCCCTCATCCTGGAATCCGCATGCGCACCACAAGGCTCGGGAAGCCTTGGAGGCATGGCTGAGAAAAGGGGCGAGGGCCGGCTGGGCCTCTACTGCCGCGAGGGCAGCAGTCGGCGCATGCGCGGGGTGAGACGCTCAATCACAGATTTGATTTGAGGCTTGCCGATTAAAAAAAATTAGGAAAAAAAAAAAAGGGGTCTGCTCCCTACGCGTGCGCACTGCGGGCAAGCATAGTCTGGGCGGCTGGGCCCGGGGCCTGTCGGTTGCCGGTAGGCTTGACTTGGCGGCGCATGCGTGCTAGCAGTGCCGGCGGATGAGGGGAGGGGAAGAAAAGAGGAGGGGAAGGAGAAAGAGGAGTGGGGTGGCCGCAGAGGCGGCAGCAGTAGCAGCAGCAACCGCGGCGGCGGTGACTGCGGGTACTCCTCGCAGGCCTCGGGTGCTGCTGCTGCTGGCGGTGGAAGCTTGTGGTGTATCGGAGGCTCCTTGGGAGAGGCAGCAGCTGCCGTAGCCACACGGAGGGGTGGGGGGAGGGGGGAGAGGGAAGAAGCCGCTGGAGCCGCCAGAGCCGCCAGCCGTTCGCACGGTGAGGACTGAGGGCGCTGGGGAGGGCAGGGGGCCGGCCGGTGCGCAGGCTGGGGCGCACCTCAAAGTTTGACAGCCGGGCAGGAGAGTCTCTCTCCAGGAGTTGGCTCCGGGGCCCGCCCGAGGAGGGGACACCCCCTCCCCCCCGGGGCGAGCCGGGGCTACCTGGCGGGCCGGGGGAGGGGGGGCGGAGGCTGGGAGCGGAGCGGAGAGCCGGGGGACCGAGGGTGTTTCCTCAGGGACCCGCTAGGCCTTGTGACCCACTTTATTTCTGTCACTACTCAGGCACGTTTGGAGCGCAGCCCGATTTGGCGTCCGAGGCGCCCTGGGCTCTTGGTCACCCCCGCCCTGTCGCCGGCGCTCGCGCGGCCCAGTAAGCATCCCTCCTCCCCGCTCCTGGTGCCCGGCGCGGCGGGGAGCAGCTCTGCCGCCCCCGCCGCGTCCGGCCCGCCGAGAGTCGGGCCGGGGCGGGCCGGGCCGAGCTGCCCCAGGCGGGAGTTCCTAGCTCGCACACCCCCCCCCCCCACCCCGCGCATGTACTTCTCTTCGGGGAGCGCTGCGCCCGCGGAGCCCGGAGGGCGGTACAAATGGCAGTGCTTTCGCCTTTTGCCCCTCTGCCTTTTTTGCCTCGAGGCTCTTCTGACAGCCGCTCTCGCCCCTCCCGGCCGGGCCGCATCGCGTCCCCGGGGGTGCTGGGGCAGCAGCGGAGTGGACTAAGCCTTGGATTTCCCATTTCGGTGAGAAGTGGTTTTCCTCGTGTGTGGAAGTGCCTTGTTCAGGGGCGATGAAAGAGGCAGTGACTTGGCGGATGAAGGATGTGATTAGTTTGTTGTTTCCTACAATTGGGACTGATAGGCACTGGGAAAACTTTGAGGCATTAGAGTGTGTGAGTGTGTGTGTGTGTGTGTGTGTGTGTGCGCGCGCCAGCGTGCATTCGTGCTGGCACATGTCTATGTCTATGTGTATATATGGTGTATGTGTATAATATATACACAGACACATATGGGTACCTGTAGGCATGCAAGCCTGAGTATATGTGTGTGGTGTGTGCCTGTTGCATGCTAATATGTGTATATGTGTAAATATATGCATATGTATATATGTGGGGTTATGTAGATTGTGTACCAGCGCATGTATATGTATGTTCATGTATATAAGGTATGTGTGCGACTGGGGGGAATAGGTATATTGTGTGCATATGTGTACACATGTGTCTAGTCATGCCAGCATATCTATATATGTGTATATGTGTGTGCCTGCTGATGTACAAGCGCATATGTGTGTGACTAAGTGAGACTGTATGTATGTATATGTATATATGTGCCTGCAAGCAAGGATATATGTGTGATAATGTATATTTGTATATCTGTATGTGTGTACATTTGTATATGCATATTTGCATGTGTATATGTATGTGTGTGCACATCAGTGAGTACATATGCTCATGTGTATATGTATATCATATATACACATATGTACTGTCTATCTAAGGCTCCCCAAAAAACTGAAGATGAAAACAAAAAGAGAAAGAGAAATTTGTTCAGCCACACATTATTTGTTTATTCTTATGATCTCTAAAATCAGAGTAATACAGTTCCATTTAGGATTGCATTTCACCGTCTGGGTGAGGGGTTTTTGGTTGGGGTGAAGGTGTAGAACAGGAATAGAAGAAAAAGAGACTACATTGCAGTAGACTACAGTTGTAGATTACATTGTAGTGCAGTTGTAGTTGAATGTATTTGCTATATATATTTAAAGATTAACATGGAAACATCCTAAACTGGGATGCATTTTAGAAAGTGTATTCCTTTTACTGAAATATGTGCTTTGAGGTGCCTCCAATCTGATCTTGCTTTAAAACTTGTTACGGAAGAAAAATAATCTAGATTCAAGTGTTAAAACATTTGACTGGAAAAAAAAAGATTGTTTCTAAAGTTGAGCATGAATAAAGTAATGTGAAATTAGTTATATTTCTTTGCCCACCAACATATTCATTGCCCTTTTTGAAGTAACAACTTATTTTTCAATTCAAGAAAACAAATACTAATGGAATACTGTGATTTATGGACTTTAATTTTGACTGTGAACAGAGATTTTAAACTTCAGTAGGATACAGAATAATTTGCATTTCCACATTTCACTTCTTTGGTTTAGAAACAGACTATCATGGTGCTCTTTGGATTTGACATAGTAGTTGACATGCTCATATTTTCAGAATTTAGTTCCATTTCTGCTTCATTAATCACTCCTATGTACCGAAAGTTTTCCTGTCAACCACTTAGGAAATGTGAATATTCCAATAAGTGAATTTCATATTAGATTTGGTTTGTCTAGATGTTCTGCATTTCACATTATGAAATTTAAGGATCTCAGCAGTACTGTATATAACATTCATATTAGGAAATAAGAGAGTTCTCATGTAAATAAATATATTAACTGTTTAAGACAGTTTCATGATGAAACTCATACTAAAATGATTTTTAAAAATTTAATGTTAGTACATGTCCTGCTTTATATACTTTTAAAATGATCACTGTCCTAATCTTAATGCAAGAAAGGGTATACTAAATGTTGGTTAAAATATATATTTTTTAAAATTTCAAACTCCCTCTAGTGGCTAATAAGGAATATCCTGTTGAAACTACTTCACAAAGGATTGGGCAAAAATATGGGGAAAGTTATTGTTATTCTATTATTGAAGTTTTTTTTTTTAAGAAACCAGTCTTACTTTTCTTTCTAAATTTTATATCATGTTTGTAAATCTTTGTATTATAGGACAAGTGAGTGATTTTTGTGTTTGATCTTGGCTTACATATAATTTTATTCCTTGGTTCTGAAAGATGGGCAGTTATTTCCGCTTAGCTTTACATTAGGGATTCTGTTCAATCTTGACCACTTTAGATAACACAACTCGTCATTGTTCACCATTCTCTCAACATCCTTACTTTTCCTGCCATTGCTGTTACTCCATTGCAACCCGTGGACAAATGAATGATTTTATATACATCATAAAATTTAGTTTGCCATACAAAAATGCAACTATAAGTCTTAGGAATGCCTATCTTTTCACATTTGAAAGGCCAGGTTAGTTTGGGAACAGTTTGTGTTGCCCTAGGTATGCTCATACTGGTATAGATTCGGTGTTAAATATCCTTGATTTCAGGTGGTCTAGTCTTGAGTGTGTTTCAGTCTGCCCAGTACCTGGGCTAAAACTTACTCTGCTTATGCAAACTTTAAAAAATTATTTAGTATTTTATTTCACCCCAGTTACATGCAAAAACAATTTTCAGCATTCATTTTTAAAACTCTGAGTTCCAAATTCTTTCCCTTCCTTCCTTCCCACTCCCCTCATTGAGAAAGCAAGCAATTTGATATAGGTTATACTTGTGTAGTCATGTAAAACATATTTCCATGTTAATCATGTGAAAGAAAACAGACCAAAGGGGAAAAAAATGAAGGAAAATAAAGACAGTAAAAAATAATGCTTCAATTTGTAATCAGACACCATCAGTTCTTTCTCTGGGGATGGATAACATTTTGTTATGTTAAGTCCTTCAGGCTTGTCTTGGATCATTGTATTGAAGACAATAGCTAAGTCATTCACAGCTAATCATCTTACTATATTGCTGTTACTTTGTACACAATACATTTCACTTTGCATCAGCTCATGTAAATCCTTCCAGGTTTTTCTGAGAGCATCCCAACTCATCAATTCTTATAGCACAATCACATAGCACAATTTGTTCAGCCATTCCCCCGTTGATGGGCATCCCCTCAATTTCTAATTCTTTGCCATCAGAAAAGCACTGCTATAAATATTTTTGTGCATATAGGTCCCTTTACTTTTTGTTTTTTGTCTCTTTGGATACAGACCTAGTAGTGACATTGCTAGGTCAAAGGGTATGTTTTTATAACTCTTTGGGCATAGTTCCAAACTACTCTAAAGAATGGTTGAATCAGTTCACAACTCCACCAAGAGTGCATTAATGTCTCATTTTCTCCACATCTCCTCCAATATTTGTCATTTTCCTTTTCTGTCCTATTAGCCAATCTAATAGGTATGAGGCGGTACCTCAGAATTATTTTAATTTGCATTTCTCCAGTCATTAGTGATTTAGAGTATTTTTTTCATGTGGTTATAAATAACTTTGATTAGTTCATCTGAAAACTTAGTGTCTTTGGATCATTTATCAGTTGGGGAATGGCTTTTATTTTTATAAATTTGACTCAGTTCTCTATATATTTGAAAAATGAGGCCTTTATCAGAGAAACTTGCTTCAAAAATTTTTTTCATAGTTACGATTTCTAAAGGTATTTCCCTCCATCCTATTCCCTCCTCGCTTCCCCCTCCCCCCCATTTATTCTTTTTCTTTTCACCCTGTCCCTCCTCAAAAGTGTTTTGCTTCTGGCTGCTATCTCCCCCAATCTGCCCTCCCTTCTGTCACCCCCCACCCCTTCTTTTACCCCCTTTCTCTCCTGCTTTCTTGTAGAGTAAGATAGATTTCTGTACTCAATTGAATGTGTATGTTATTCCCTCATTGAGCCAATTCTGAGGAGAGTAAGGTTCACTCACTGCCCCTTTCCGTCTCCCCTTCCACTGTAAAAGCTTTTTCTTGCCTTTTTTAAGTGAGATAATTCTACCTCTCCTTTTACCTTTCTCCTAGTATATTCCTTTCTCACCCCTTAATTTTATTTTTTTAGATATCATCTCTTCATATTCAACTCACACCTGTGTCCTCTTTCTATATAAACTCCTTCTTGTTGCTGTAATAATGAGAAAGTTTTTATGAATTACAGGTATCATCTTCTCATGTAGGAATGTTAACAGTTTAACCTTATTAAGTCCCCTCTGATTTCCCTTTCCTGTTTACCTTTTTAATGCTTCTTGAGTCTTGTATTTAAGAGTCAGATTTTCTATTCATCCCTGGTCTTTTCATCAAGAATGCTTGAAAGTCCTCTATTTCGTTGAATTTCCATTTTTTCCCCCTCGAGGATTATACTCAGTTTTGCTGGGTAGATGATTCTTGGTTGTAATACTAGCAGCTAGGACTTAGCTCCTTTGCCCTCTGGAATATCATATTCCAATCCCTCTGATCCTTTAATGTAGAATCTGCTAAATCTTGTGTTATTCTGACTGTGGCTCTATGATACTTGAATTATTTCTTTCTGGCTGCTTGCAATATTTTCTCCTTGACTTGGGAGCTCTGGAATTTGGCTATAATATTCCTGGGAGTTTTCCTTTTGAGATCTCTTTCAGGAGGTTATTGGTAGATTCTTTCAATTACTTTTTTATCCTCTAGTTTTAGAATATCAGGGCAATTTTCCTTGATAATTTTTTGAAAGATGATGTCTAGGCTCTTTTTTTGATCAAGACTTTTGAGGTAGTCCAATAATTTTAAAATTATCTCTCTTTGATCTATTTTCCAGGTTAGTTGTTCTTCCAATGAGATATTTCACATTGGCTTCTATTTTTTCATTCTTTTGGTTCTGTTTTATTGTTTCGTGATTTCTCATAAAGTCATTTGCTTCCATTTGCTCATTTCTATTTTTTAAGGAATTACTTTCTTCAGTGAGCTTTGATACCTCCTTTCCCATTTGCCTAATTTTACTTTTTAAGGAGTTTTTTTCTTCAGTGAATTTTTGTGCCTCTTTTTCCATTTGGCCAATTGGGCATTTCTAGGCGTTTTTCCCCTCATTGGCTTTTTGTACCTCTTTTACCATTTGGCCTCTTCTGTTTTTTAAGATGTTA